TAAATGTGGCCCTGAACTTCCTAACGATCAAAGAAAAATAGAACACAAGAGACTCACCTTCCAGTTTTGAGTTTGCATTCAGTGATGCAATAACGACCCCAGAGTGTGTAAATTGAATCTTGGTGCAAAAAAAAAAAAGTCTTCTTATTCAATAGATATTCATAACCCACACACACAGTATCTGTAGTGGATAATTTAACAACTGTCACCTTGACAAGATCTTGCACCACCCAAGAGAATCTCTGGGCCTGGCTAGAAGGTATTTTCTAGGCTGGGTTAATGGAAATGGGACGGTCCACTCTGAATGTAGGTAGCGGCATCCCATGGCTGGAGTATTAGAGTGAAGAGAAAGAAGAAAGTTTGAACCTCCATTCATCTCTTGGTGCTTTTGAACTACAGATGCCATGTGACCAGCTGCCTCATGCTCTGACTGCCATGCCTTCCACACTGTGATGGACTGAACCTTCAAACTGTGAGCCAAAACTCACCCTTAATCCCCAAGTTCCTCATGCAGGTGTCTGGTCACAACAATGAGATAACAACTAACACAGAATATGTGAAGAAAAATTTTCCATGGGAAATGATGGGGAGGAAAAGAATGTATTAGAGAGGCTCTTTAAAAGGTGACTATGACAATGTTGGGAACCCTGTACCGGAGAAGAGGACCCATCACTGTGTCCAGAGGCTAACCTTCCAGGCAGCCTCATTCCAGAAGTTGGAGAGCTAGAGAACCATGGGCACAGCAGGACATTTCTCCTTGATTAGAGCTTTGGTATACAAGCTAGCCCTGTGGTCTGAGACTGGAATGTTCCAGATATACCCCTACATTAAAGGCTTGGTCTCTGGCCTTTGGTACCATGGGGAAGCAGTAACCAAGTTGGGGCCTAGTAGCATACTCTCAAGTCACTGGAGAATTTTCAAAGGATATCTTGGGCTCTGGGCCCTCCTCTTTCTCTTACCCTTTTGCACCCAGCTGTGAGGTGAAGGGGCCTCCTTCCTCCACTCCTGCCGCAATGTACCATGTTGCCACAGGTCCAAAGTGTCACAGATAATCAATGATGGCCTGAAACCTCAATTGTCACACACACACACACACACACACACACACACACACACACACA